TTTTTTTTCCCCAGAGGAAGCAAGCAGGCAGCTTTCTCTTCATATATATATATATATTTATTATCCTGAAATCTGGGGACCCTGTCTAGCATACATCTGGGATGTGTTTTTAATTACTCTGGAAATGAAACTACTTACAGTGGGTTTTTTTTTCCTTTCTGTATCTTCACAAAAGATGTCTTCATAGGGCAGCAAAAATCACGCATTATTTCAAGGATGTTAGCCTACTGTAAATATAGCAAAAAACTTGGGGTTGTGTTTATAAGCCTAGTAGAAGTAGCATTTAGAGCTATGTGCCACTTTGAAGACACAACAGAATTTAAGCACAATATCACTGTGTATCAAGAAGAGGTCAGTATTCAATTTAAGTAGGATTAAGTACAATAAAAAAACCCCTTCTTTGGATAAATAACTTGCTACCCTATAAAGAGGCCAGCAATTGCAGAAGAAACTTCCTCTTAAAATCTCTTGTGTTCAGGCTGGGGAGGAGATTTGCATTAAGAACATCAATTTTTCTTCAACTTTCAAAATAACAAGGATTGCTGGAGTTGGGAGTTTATGTCCATAGGTAAAACTGTAGCATGCAGAGGACAGGAAAAATAAGAAACCAGTGGAGAGAAGGCAGAAGAGCTAGAGTATAACAGCAGCAGAGGACAAGTGAGTGATTTTTCCATTTCAATTTTTATCCCTTTGTTCTTTTATTTTGACTTTCATGCTCTTCTTGTTTACCAATTGTCACAAAATTTATAGTATTAGTAGCAAATTAAAGAAACCCACAAACCCTGGGCTTTTAGTACATTGTATGTAAGATTAGTCTAGAGCCTGCAGGAACTGTTCTGAGTTGCTAATACTGAACTTACATTGATTCATTCCTTTGTTTCCCTTTTTTAAAGAAAAACTTTTCTGGTAAAACACATAACAGAAAGAAACTTCCAGTTTTTAATTTCACTCAGGTAATTAGTAATATAGCTGATTTTTACAGCTTTTCCTGGAAGAGAGTTAGTTGTGACTGATTCTTAATTACTTAAATGACCTACCAAGGAGGAAAAAATACTGGAGGAAACTTAATCTGATATTTGCTCATAGTGGACTGATGCTGTAGAGTTGGGGTGAAACCTGTGTGTGTGTACATTTATATATATATTATACTTTAACAGAACAAGCTTGACAGCAAAGTCCACTGAAATGGATTTCAGGAATAGTATTTGCTATAGGTAGAGCTGCTAGTGCCACCTGTACTTAAGGTTGTGTGACCCTTTACATTTCCAGGCTTAACTCTTAGTTACTTTCTAACTTTTGCCAAAGTGCAGTTCAAGCAGATTTTTCCGTGCCAGATATCTGCTTTGGGCTGAACTTTTTGAAAGTTTCAGCCAAAGCAGTTCTGTTCCAAGAATAAGGCCAGTGAAAAGTATGCTGTTTTGCTTGTGTGAGAATATTCTGGTGTCCTTCTTTGATGCTCCAGTGCCCCCAAGCTCTGAAGCAAGGATTTGAAATTTGGCAATAGTTCAGCCTTTGTGTTGAGGATATGCCTTTTGCCTCCCTGTAAAAATCCACCCAAATTTCCAGACCGGTTTACAAGGCTTTGAAAGATTGCCATTTGCATGGGCTTAATAGGAATTTCTTAAAACTTCACAGTAAGCTTCCTTTAGATTTTGTTCACACTGGGAATGCTCCAGGCAGGGTAGAGCTGCGTATTTCGTCCCACTTCTGCTAGGAATTGTAACAGCTGGATCTGGGTGCTGACACTGAACTGAGAGTGGGCAGCATTGTGTCTTGTATCACCACTGCCTATTCCCATGTCCTGTTCCTTTTTCCTGGTGGTGGACCTGGGTCCTCTGGAAAAGAAACTGTCTCATTCATCTGGAAGAGCATGACAGATGCAGAGGAGAAGAATTTAGGACCCTGTGTGTGTGTGTGTTTTATACCATTCTTTTGGTCACAGAAAATGTGTGCATCATACTGGCAAAATATTACTTCCTTTTCTACTGGATGTTCAGATAACAGTTAGTTAGGTTTTGTTGCATTTAAGCTTCAGTTTAAATGTTGAGTGGGTATCAAGGTTTTAACAAACTATGTAGGCATCAACTTAAAAAAAATACTCAAATGTCACAGGGCAGGAATGTTGTTTAGAGGGCAGAAATCAAGAGCTCATTTTTTCAAACATTTAAGTCTGACCTCTTGCATTTACTACATTGTAGTGCAACCTCCAACTTCCTCACAAGTGTCACATGCTTTGTCCAACAGGCAGCTATTTGACTGGAATGGGTAAAGGGGTTTATTCTGAGGATGTGTCCAGGATTTGTACAGTAAAGTGTGTATATTCATCTGTTGTAGAAGTTGAAAAATGTGGAGGAAGAGAAGTCAAGATTTTTTGGGGAAAAAGAAAAGGCTTTGTGGCTAAGACAATTAAATGCTGCTTGATGAATTGTGTGCCATCTGTGCTTAGTTGTGGTATTTCTACATGATGCACTCAAATAACTGTTCCTAGGTTACTGCTCATACTGTATGATCTAGTGGCTGGTTTGAGAACTCGTGTCAGTTTGTGGAAATGCAGACACTTAGAACTGCAAGTGAACTCAGTGGGAGCTAAACCTCCTGTAAAATCCTGTCTTTTACTGAGGACAGTAAAAACCAGCTCAATCTGGAGCCAGAGGACCTTTTAATCTAATTAACCTAATGCCTCGGTTACCAGTTTTGCAGGTGAAGAAATTACTTGACCCATCTCTGTAGACAGGCTGAGAAAGAAATTGGTTGCCTTTGTAGCAGAACTGGAAAATAACACACTATAAATAGAGCATATAACCCCCTCCCTTGATTAGGGATGAAATAAAGCATTGATAAACATGTAATAAAAAATGTATGTAATAAGACACAAGTATGTATTTACATGAGTGAAATTACCTTTGCAACTTTTAATTTTCCAATGCTTCCCTTTCTGAACCTAATAATTCTTTTAAAATAAAAGATGTGGTTTTTCTCTGTGAATTTATTAAGGATTCAATTTAATTTTGTATAAATAGCCTAATTTTGCCAATCCCTTGGTAGCTGTCTTGGTTCTGGAGTGGGGGAATCATTATTTCACTTTTGCAATTTCTTTCCCAGTAGACCATGAAAACCCAGATTATATTGGATCTGTCTGAAACCAATGTTGTCAACCTGTAGAAAGTTTCACTTTTTTATACTGTTTAAAAAATCTATTTCATACTGATCCAAGCATAAAAATCCCAAGATCATAGCTCTGGAGCTCAACTTTTCCACTTTGAATTAGCAGTCCAAATTTTTAAACTCTGAGAATAATATAAAAATGCAAGTTTAATTAGCAATAACCTTTTCATTCTCTTCTAAATCAGACACTTTACCTTAGTACTAGTTGAATAAAATATTAGGAGGATCCTCATCCTTCCTGTTTGCTGTGGAGATGGAAAGCATACTTGCTCAAGCTGTTTACTGCTACCTCACCATGATAAATCTGCCCTTTGTAAAGCTGCTTCAACAGTACATCATTTTTTTATCACTTTGTAGAGTCAGCCATTACCTGAAGTTTCCTATTCAGAAAAAAAAATGGGTTTGTAGGTTTTTTGAAAGAGACAGGTTACAACAAATAAGTGACTGTGTGTTTGTGGAAGTGTCTGGCTCCCGGAGGGAAATGATTTGCTGCTAAGGTTTAGTGAATTTAATCCTTTGGAAATTATTTGTTGGAGAGTCTGCAGCAATGGAGAGTTTTGGGTTGTGGTTTTTTGTTTTCTGGTGGGTTTTTTTTCTTTCTTTTTTAAGGTGGAGGTGTGAGAGATTTTTTTCGTTTGTTTCTTTAAGCTTAAAGTAGTCATCAGATTTTTTTTTTTTCACTTGTTTCTTGGGTCATTCTCAAGGTGTTTACTGCCTCTGAACCAGTAGCTCTTTTGAAAGCTTCAGCATAAACAAGGCATTTAACAGGATGTGTGTCATGCAGTATTTGCAGGAGAAGGATGGGAATTTTGAGCTGCTCAAAGCACATACATCTTCCTTAGAGGAACTCTGCTGCTAAGAACAGCAGCGTTATTTGCTTAGCTGTGTGAAATCCACTTGCTTGTGGACAATTGTTTTGTGTCTTGTTTTTCTTCCCCCCCCAAGACTTCCGCTTCCTTGTGTGCTCTTCCCATATGTGTTTTGAGCTGTGCTTTGAAGTTGGGCAACTAGTTTTAAACAAAAGCTTTTACCACACTTCTGCATAGCATCCAGCTTGATTTCAGCAATCTGACGTGTCACTGATGTGGTTTAGAGTTAACAAAATGCTATTCTTTGCTTGCTTTTTCATTGGTTTGTGTAGGATTAAAATTAAAAAAGAAAAAATAATCATATCAGACTGAGTATGTTGTATAAAAGCCAAGTCAAGATGTGATTAGAATGTGATTTGTCCATTTGGCTGTGCAGCAAGTATTAATTGACCAGGCATCTGTCTCGACACATGGGTGACATGAAGTTTATGAGATATCTTGTATTTTTTCCTCTGTCACCTTCCTTTTCCTCCTCCCCAGTCCTCCTAATAATCTAAGGAATTTCTGAAAACCCAGCCTTTGTGTGCATTTAGTTTCCTACATAAGTCATTCTAGCATGTTTTAGTCCAGAGTGCCTAGATAAAACAAATTAGGATGCATGTTTTCTGTCATCCTTGGGCAATGTGCTTCAGTAACAGGATCCTTGCTCTGACTTTCTTGAATTTATTCTGAAGTCTGTATTTTTTTATATTGATTTTGTTTTAAGATTAGGGCACAAAATGAAGAGTAGATTCTGAAAGGCCAAAGCAACCACAACTGCAGTCAACCAGATTAATTTGTATCCAATTACACGAGCAGTAAATTAGCTATGAGTTTTCAACTGTACTATTTCAAATTAACTTGAGAAAGCAACTAAAATCTGATTTGCAAGACTCTGCTTTATGAAAAGGGTTTAAGATGTGATCATTTATAGTAAGTATGTTAACTGGTTCTGAATGTTTTGCTTTTCTGTCTTGTTTTTGGCAGCAACTTGAACTAGTGGAACCGAGCGGCTGGATTCACGTTCCTCTGACAGACACTCACAAGAAGCCAATTCGCACGTTCATGATCCAGATTGCTGTTCTAGCTAATCACCAGAATGGGAGGGACACTCACATGAGACAAATCAAAGTGTACACCCCGGTGGAAGAGAGCTCCATTGGTAAATTCCCTCGATGTACAACAATTGATTTCATGATGTATCGCTCCATAAGATAAAGTTTTTCCTACTGAGAAATAATAAAGGCGTTTTTTTGACGACGGTATTGTTGCTAAAGTATTCAGATACTTAAAGAGCAGGGTTTACTTCAGTGTAATTATATCTTTTTTGTTTATACTTTGTACAATTTTGAAATAAAGATAATACTGTGTTACAATATATTGTAGTCTGTGATTTTGCATAACTTGTCCTTGCGGTCTGAGTGCTCTTGTACTGTCTGAGAGGAAAAAAATCCCAGACACTTTAAAAAGAACATATTTGACTGGGAATCAGTAACTGATTTAATACAGGTATTTTTGGAGGGTGATTTCTTCCCCTAATGATCATGCCTGGAAATAGTTTGCTCTCTAGTGTTCCTGTTTGTTCCTTTACCTAAAAGATGCTCATTTTAAAGCGCATTCTTCTTGAACAGACATGGTTTAAAGACATTGCCAGTAGTGTTTTCCCATTGTTGTCTATGCTAATATGTTGCACCCTTTTCTGTATAGGATTGCTTCTCCTTAATGGCTGTCTGGATGGATTTAGCTTTCTTTATAAGTGCAAAATAGATCATAGAATCATATATTATCTCAAGTTGGAAGGGACTTTATAAGGATCATCGAGTCCAACTCCCTGCTTCTTCCCTTCTAAAACTAAACCGTATGACTAAAGACCATTGTCCAGGTGCTCCTTGAACTGTGACAGGCTCAGTGCCATGACCACTTCCCTGGGGAGCCTGTTCTAGTGACTGATAACACAGTGAAGATGACAATGACATGAAGAAAATCAAACCTTTCCGAATTATTCAATATAGTATATACATTAATATAGATATGAGAATAGGTCATCTAAACATGATACCTGTTCAAAACAGGAGGAGAGTTAAGAATGCTCTGACATCCTACAATAGTGTAGGAATGAATCTGATGGCCCAATGAACCTCTAAAATACTGAGAACTCAAGTGTATAACACCAGGTAGTCTCAGACTCGTAGCACAGAATTTTTTTAATGTGTTTTAAAGTAAAGAGCATTGCCAGGAAAATACAGGCTTTGTCTACTTGCTGTGAGTAGGAATATTTAGCACCTCTGCTAACATCTCATAATCTGATTACTAGTTACTTAATCTTTTTAAAAAGTAAGGAGATTTTAGAAGGGTTGTTGAAGTACAAAGATTTCTTCTAAAATGTTCAACACTGATCAAACCTGTTCCTCCTAGCACCTTAAAAGCTGATGGTCAATCCAGACTAATCTCAGCCAAGGAAAACTTTTGACACTTCTTAATTGCGAGCAAGGAAAGGCTACCAATATAGAAGGTTCATCAAACAGTGATAAGGTTGTCAAAGAAGGATAAAGATTTAGCTCTGAAATCCTTTATATGCTTCATGAAGCTGTTGTTTACTGAAAAGTTTTGTCTGGCTGAATTCCACTGTCTTTAGGAGGGTCATTGAACAGGCATTTCATGACGATGAACCTTGTAGAGAAGTGCATGACTAGTTTGAGTTTTCTGTTTAAATGTGGATTCAGTCATTTCACAAGGACCTTGATGGTACCTTACCTTTCCATGTATCAGCTGCAGAATTCCTGCCCATCAGAATCTGGTTGAACTCATACCTTTCACCAAGTCTGTCAGTCCACTGTATTTTACTTTATATAGTGTAAAGGACTGGTACATTGCTATTCACTTAAGCAATTGAAGCAAAATATGTACCATTGCATATTTTTCTGTTAAAAAAACAACAACTCCCCCCCAGATTTATCAAGTTGTTTTTGATAAGTTATGGATAGACTTGTAAGAAAGGAAATTATTAGGTGTGGAATTTTCCTGTTTTCCCCCCAAAGTTAAGATGGCAGTTACCTATCCTACCTTTCTGTCGTCAAGCCACTGTTTCCTACTCAGTGATTCTACCACAGGCAATTCTGTGGTGATTCTGATCTTTGGTCAGTAACATTTATCTTTTAATTGAAAGAAACTTTAAAGTATTCTTTTCTCTTACAATTCACCCTACAAGTAATACCTAAATTAACATTGCTCTGTGACAAACATTATCCAGTAAATTAGGAACAAGCATGTCAGCACAGTCTTATTTTGCTTATTTCTGCCCTGCCTTCATTTTTGTAGGCATCATTTTTGGATCTTTAGACAGCTGTTCTTGCTTTTACTGATTTTTTTTTCAGGGTTCTGATGTTCATGCATTTAGATGGTTTCTAAATTGTTACATCTCACAGTCTAGTTGAATAAGCTGAAACCTAGCTTGAGTACTTATCCTGCTATTCTGCAATCACAGATGCTGTTCTAGCGGTTTTAAGAACCTGTGGATACCCACGTTAAACTTTACTGTTGAGGAGAGAATCTGTACTTACAAATTAAATTTAATGTAGGGGTTTTTAGTAGACGTTAAAGTGTACAAGGCTCTGTAAAGGTTAAGCCTACAGTTACACTTTATTCTTCTATCACCAGCAGATCCAGTCTGAAGCTGCACATTCCCCTATTTTGTTTCTGCTTTATTGCCAGAAATTACCATCTCCGTGGTTGAACCTCTCTGGATGCTTCCATTGCTGTTCAGTAAACAGGTCCTTCCTTGACCCTTTAAAATAAGTTTATTCTTAGTATTGGGTGAAAGCAAATAATCTGTGGTAAGACCCTGGGAGTGAACAGAGTCATGATGAAGAGATTGGGAGCAGATTAAAAGGGAGAGTGCAACTACTGACTCCTTCAACCGCTGCTGGCAAAATTACATAAGACCATGGCTGAAAGACAGTATAAAAATGCAAACTCATTACTACAGTTTGTGTCTTGCTCTTCAATATTCAGTGTCACTTGAAAATGGATGCAGTGGCCATTCTAGACCCATATTAAGTATTGTCTGTGTTGTTTTGTAACCGTTGTGTAAACATTGCGTTGGTATTTAACACCTGTGCAATTACACATGATTTTAACATTTTTGGTGCTTGGTCACATAGGGCTGCTGATTTTTCAGCAATGAGATCCTGGATGACTGTGTCTGAAAATAAAGCAAGTTACTGCCTTTGTGTATTAATACAGTACTTAGTATTTAAACAAACTGGTCTGCCAAATCATTGCAGGAAGTTCCTATGCACATGTTGTGTTTAGCTGCTACTTTTTTTTCCTTGCTCATTATTTTCAAACACACAGGTGTCTGGTATCTTACCATTCTCTCTTGTATAAGAAAGTTCTGATAAATATTGTAATAAATATAAGTAATATTGAAATAAATGACAGACAAAATGGAAGATGTATTTGTTCTAAGAAATCATGACTCGGCAGTGATCTGAATCATCACTTCAAATAGGAGTAATTTAGGGATTTTAAAACTTTTTTTTTTTGAAGATACCATACTAGGCCTTTCTGCCTCGCAGAACAGATATTTGATTCCTACTATGAGTGAAAAAACCCCTTTATTTTAATTAAACTTAGCTTAATTCTTTTGTAGACACGGAGAGAGGTAACTGAGTGCCCAGGATGGTGAGGAACTTCTGTTGAAATGAACAGGAGTAACTGTGTTTTGACTAAGTCATGTCTGTGTGTCTTCTTAGCACCACAGTGTAAACAAAAAAGGCAGATGGCAGGAGAGGAAGCAAAGAGATATTTGCTGTTCCTGGTTTCTAAAATGGAGAACAGCAAAACATTTATATTTTGTTTAAGCTCACCTGAGGAATCTCTCGCAGAGCTGGAAGTTGAAGCCGTATCGCCATTGTCCATCTTCTCTTTCACTGTGAAGCTGATGTTCAGATAATGATACTGTTTTAAAGACAAAGTTTTCAGTAATGCAATTTCTGTATGTAATTCCATTTTGAAATTCAAACTGTACTTTGGCTTTTGCTGTTCTAGTTTAGTCTGTAGGGGAGATACTTTTACCAACACACTGACTCTAGATCCACAGCTCTTCAGCTGCTGCCTTTGTGCTTGCTCTTACCTTGCCAAAAAGGCACAGCATACTTTTTAGTAAAAGAGGAATAAGCTACCTTGGATTTTATATGGGACACTGGACACGAGATTCATAGTAGCTTGCAGTCTGGTTTGAAGAGCTGCATACATGCCATTTTTCCATGCTTTGTTTGGTATAAATGTAGAATACTGGACTTCTATTGTTGTTGTGGTTTTTTTTTTTTAATAGCTGCCCTGTATATTAGACTTCAAATGTCTCTCACGCAGATATTCAGTTACTTGGACATGAGTGATCTGAGTAAAGCATCACTTGTTGCCCAATTCTGTAGTTACCCTGGTCTTCACAAATAGGTGTGCTGCTAGGCTGGGGGGTGCTTGGAGCTGTAATTCAAGCTTAAGTTAGTGATAACCCGACATGAGGACTATCAGACTAGATGTTTACTGAACAGTTGGCATGTAGGTACCTTTCTGAGAATCAAAGGCTTAGTCTGCCATGAACGCAGTACGAGAGATGAACTGAAGTGAGTCTTACTGTTGGTACTTGTTTTTCTTCACCTGCATTAAAACAGTTTAAGGGAAGTAATCGAAACATTATTTAGGGTTGAAATCTGTTTATATACTAGACAGAGAGCCAGCTGTTCATCACCAGCTCTGATTAGCAAAAACACATGAACTTTTGTGTGTAATAAATGAAGTGATGGAAGAAACTGAAGGACCATGGAGAGCTACCAGTTAGTGGGAAGGCAAGCCATCACTTCACATAATAGAGCAAGCCACGTCTCTGGGCAGCAGGCCATTGCTAGAACAACTCCCACCTTTCAAAAAGCAGTAGCCAGCCATAATTGTAGATGTTTGGACTCAAGAACTGCAAGTGAAATAGATGCTCAGGCAATTTATGCCTCCACTTGGTGAAGTAAGTTGGGTGCTACAACTACAAGTGCCACTTGAAGAAAGTCAGAGTGACAAGACTGGATCTAGTAATCAGAGCTGAATTGCATTACATCCTATAAAGAAGGAAGGAGTGTCAGAAGCTAATGTAGTAAACTTCTCAGGAAATCACAAAGACTTTGGACATTTGTCAGCCATAAATATGTCTCTGTCCCACTTTGCTCTGCGCTGGTGCAGCCTCACGTTGAGTACTGTGTGCTGGTTTGGGCACCACAATATAGAAAAGACATTAAGCTCATAGACAGTGTCCAAAGGAGGGCCCTGAGGATGGTGAAGGGCCTTGAGGGGAAGCCGTAGGAGGAGCAGCTGAGGGCACTTGGTCT